TTTTAATTTATTATTATTCTGTAAGTAATTGGTGGGTTATGATAAAAAAATCACCCTGAATATACTACGCTAATGATTATTGTATAATCATGTATAATGGAAGTCAATATAAAGTAAAAGTTACGTTAACACAATGTTTTTAATCATTTATTGGTCATGGACTCATAGTATAATATATCAATATAATTAAATTAAGTCAGTAATTGATTGTCATATTTAAATTTTTTTTTAAATAAATAATTTTTTAAATTAAATCGCTAGAAAAAAATTATTAAAAGCATATTCTAGGGTTTTATAATGCATAAGCGCTTGAATATTTACTTATACNTATAATGCATAAGCGCTTGAATATTTACTTATATTTATCGATTGGTAGATCCGTAGTCAACTCTTCAAAATATTTTGAGGTCGAGAAAAAATTCGATTATTTTATTCTTAATCTAAGGAACATTACACTTGATACCACCATTCCATTCTTAACCATCCTAATTCTTAAAGGATCTTACTTTACTCACAATGCCTAGCAATCCTCTCAAAAGACTAAAAAGGAACTGGTGCAGAGATCTTCTTATCCCACAATAATTAAAAAAAAAATAAATAAATAATAATAATAACATTCTAACTACTAAATAATATCACTTCAAAAAGAGTGTTGTCGATTGGCAGTATTTATACTTCATGATTTTTTTTTAAATAAATTTGATGATGCCAAGTGATCGGAATTTTTCTTTATACAGTATTCAAAAAATATTGGTGAATTTTAATCGTCCTTGGTCAACCCTTTCACGTGCCTCAAAGGGGTTGAAAATTGACAAAAAGATGTAGGAATTTAGTTTTGTGTATATATCTTTTTAATTACTATAAATAAAAAGAATTCCACACAATTAATAATGCAGTATACAATAATGTAAAGAAAAAAGGTCTTTACGAATTTTTTGTAACATTGATTGTTCAACGTCTAACTAATATAAACTGTTTAATTTTATTTTTCGGGAAAACATCTTTAAAGTTTATCTCTTTAAATATTGCGATAAATATATCCAATCACTTGGCATCAAATTTTCAAATTTACAAAATAAGGACCTCCCTAATAGTCAGCTTCTTTTCTCAAAATAATCATGTCAAAAATGTATTATCATATTTTATACTTATTGTACTAGTATTGAATAGATTATTAGTATTATATAGTATTGTATAAATCAATATTACTCATTAATTATTAAACACTACTCTAGAAGATCTTTCTCTAAAAAAATCCTATTAGTTTAAACAGACTTAGAAAATGTTAAAAAAAAAAGACTTTTTATGTGAAACTCAGAAATGTTTTGTTCACCTGAACAATTTCATTTCAAACAAAGCATTAACACCAATTTTACATTACCTAAATTTAAACTAGAATGATATTGATATTAAAGCAAAATTTGTAATAATTTTTTAAATCAGCGACAATAAATTAACGTAATAAAAATAAAATAACTACAAAAACATTATTCAGAATTTGTTAAATTGTGTTACTTATTCTATGATTGATTTTCCCCAATACTCTTGTTAAGAGAACATTATAAATAAAATTTTTACTATTTAATACAAAAATCATTTTATCTTGTATTGCATTTATATAAATCGAACCTTATAGTATATATTAACTATAGAGTATAAATTCTTATTATTGTGTATTAATTACTTTATTTTGCAGGTTGTAATAAATGTNGTATTAATTACTTTATTTTGCAGGTTGTAATAAATGTCAAAAAAAAGGCCACAAATGGTACGAATGCAAAACGCATCCCCTTAAAAAAGAGCAGCAGCAGGAGGAGCAGCAACAGCAACATAAGCACCAACAGCAGCAGAAACAGCAACATAAGCAGCAGCAGCAGGAGGAGCAGCAACAGCAACATAAGCACCAACAGCAGCAGAAACAGCAACATAAGCAGCAGCAGCAGGAGGAGCAGCAACAGCAACATAAGCACCAACAGCAGCAGAAACAGCAACATAAGCAGCAGCAGCAGGAGGAGCAGCAACAGCAACATAAGCACCAACAGCAGCAGAAACAGCAACATAAGCAGCAGCAGCAGGAGGAGCAGCAACAGCAACATAAGCACCAACAGCAGCAGAAACAGCAACATAAGCAGCAGCAGCAGGAGGAGCAGCAACAGCAACATAAGCACCAACAGCAGCAGAAACAGCAACATAAGCAGCAGCAGCAGGAGGAGGAGTAGCAACAGCATGAGAAATGTTGCATATCATAATTATTTATGATGATTAATAAATTATAAATTTTTAAATAAATGTTTAATAAAGTAACCGATTAGTTTTTATTGATTTTCACTATTAATTCTATGGTAAATATAAAGTAATATTATTAGACAAACATAAGTTGTATGAGTTTAGTACTTAAAAATATATATATCGATAAACGCTTTTGAGAATTTGATCAGCAAATTGTGAAAATTAAAGTAGAGTTTAATCTCACGTTTATGTATATACTAACATAATTTAGGAATCATAAATGATTCACTTTAAGCCTGATATTAATTTTAATTTAATGTAAATAAAAAATTGATCTTGATAGTTACTTAAAATTAAGCATATAAAATTATGTATTATTATTAATTGTAGTCCCTAATATATTTAAAATTAGCATGGTTGTAATTTCAAATGTGAAATATTGTTTTTTAGCTTAGATGCAAAGCTACTATTTTTNTATTTTAGCTTAGATGCAAAGCTACTATTTTTAAAATAGTAGTTATTGGAAAATCATAAACACGATTTATAACTATAGTAAAAGCGTAAACAACATATAAATTCAAGTTT